ATACATTGTGGAGTACTACTATTCCATAAAGAGGGATACACTCGGGGACTGGGGAGATGGTTCAGTGGAATAAGCGCTTCCCTGGCAAGCGCAAGCACCTGAGTTCAATCCCCAGTTCCACAAAAAAAAAAAAAAAAAAAAAAAAGGGATACACTCAAATCATCTGTAGGAAAATGGATGTACCTTGAGATCATAACATTATGTAAAATAAATCAGACACACAATTATTACATAATTTCTCTTATGTGAGAAACCCAATGTATAAATAAAGAGCAAAATAAAAAATGGATAATAGGGAGCCAAAGTTTTTGCTAATGGAAAGGGGACAAAGAGATGGAGGAAGGAGGGAAAATGGATGAAAAAGAGCACTGTTAAGTACATGCAGCAACATGGGATTACACTCCCACAACAACTATAATCATCATGTACTGCAAACACGTACCAAAAAAGAAAAAAAGATAAAAGAAGACATTACATTTATTATAAAGCCTATCATTTAGGTATATCATTTAGATATATCATGGAAGATGTTTGAGCAATACAACAAAAGACACTTGTCTTTTCAACGTCCAAAATAAACGATGTCCAAGATTTGCTATTTGGAGTGTGCAAACACTGGACTTCAGTCATTGTTATTGTATTTATAGTAATTTCTTCTTCCTGTATCGTGTCTTTTCTGATCAAGAGCCTAAGATAATACTGTATCTTTTCTTAATTGAACAGTCACTGTGTGTTAAGTATGTTGGAGGAAGATACTTCATTTAATGTTGTCCATAACCTAACACAGTAGGGACTATTTTATCTCCAGAGATAGACTTTAAGCCAAAGGGGTTAAGATACTGTGTTCGTCTCACAGTTTCATACATCACTGTCTCAGACACTGGCCACAGGGTCACACATTGATTGCCTGGCTTTTGAGGACTTCCTCTGAAATTTTGGTAGATGCCTCCATGATCCTGTAACTGTCCAACTTTGGATGTCTGCAAAGCCAGCACCACACACATGATGTGAAATCTACTGATAGCCTGAGTGGACTGTGCGCAGCTAAGTGAGTCGCTGAGCCACTGCTGCAGGAGCCTCTGTGTGTCTGGACAGCCGAGCATAGGGAGAAGAATCCTGGAAAGCTAAGGTGGCTAAGCAGCCTCAAGTATGCCTTCTCAAATGAAACTTACACTTTCAAACCCTTGAGCCTGTGATAAGTGTGCTCTTGATGGTTCCTGAAATGTCCTCAAGGCAGATTTCCTAATGTTCTAGGGCAAAATACTTGGTTTCTATTTAAAGTCAACAATATATGTGCTTTTTTTTTTTTTTTCCTAGCCTAATTGCAAGCTTTTCATATTTTTCTACTCTGGATTTTGCTCCCAGCTCTCACTGTAAATTGAGCTATAAGCAGCCAGCAATATCTACACCACAGCCTGAATGCTGCGCAGCCTTCAAATTTCTTCTGCTAGATAACTAGTTCATCACCTTTAAATTTAGCTTTGCAAACTCAGTACATGGACAATATGTTGACACATTCTTTGCTTCACTATACACCAGTGGCCTCTAGTGCAATTCCTAATGGATTCCTCAATTCTGTCTGAAACCTCAAGAGTAGTCTTTCTTTCTTTCTTTCTTTTGGTACTAGGGATCGAACTCAGGACCTTGTGCTTGACAGGCAGGCATTTATACCACTGAGCTATATCCCCAGCAAGAGTAGTCTTTAGAGTGTGCATTCCTGCCACCTGAAAATACTATGGAGGAAGGATGGAAGCTTGGTAAAGAAAAGTCTTACACTGTGGTCCAGTTCTAAGAAAGTTCTGGTTGAGATCTGAGTAGGGTATTTCTATGGATGCCATAAACGGAACAAGAAAGAAATGATTTTTTAAAAAATGTGCTGAGAATTGAACCCAGAGCCTCATGATGCTAGGAAATTGCTAAGGAAATTGCTCTACCACTGAGCCATACCTAGCCTCAAAGGAAAAGATGATTCTTAATGTTGGTCCCATATACAGCCCATGCCCACTATAATCCTCTCCCCACTGTTGTAACTGTCCTAATAACCTGTTTTGGTAATTAGGATGTACATCTTATCAGGTTAATCAAGGTCACTATGGCAATGTCATGATCTGATAATGGCCAATTAATCTGCACAGGTTGAGAGTTGCAGAGGAGAAAAGAGCTAGAAGGGATGTGGATGTTGGCCTGGCCAGAGTGGGCTAGGCTGAGTGTTCACATAGGTCGTGGCCTAGGAGTAAGCCAGGTATTGTCATGGGCTGTCCTGGCTTCCACTTTTTTGGGGAGAACATTTATATTTTTTGTGTTTTCCTCTTTCTTTTATAAAATTTTATTTTAAAGAAAAAACTCAAAAACATAAAAAGAAAAATGAAAACAAAACAACAAAAAAACCACACAGAATTTCAAGACAAGATAGGAAATTAACAATGGTTGTTATAGTCAAAGCAATTGCTCAGATTACCAGATATAGGTATGCATGATTGATCACACAATTAAACTCACTGTTCTTTTCAATAAACCAATAGAAATAGTATAATTATCTTAGTTATC